GTTACTGCCCAACACTGCTCCTGACATATCTGGAAAAGAGGGATCAGCATGACAATCTGAGTGAAAAGTCTTGTCAGCTCACTGACCTCTCCTCTCTGATCCGCCGGACTCTCTCTGCTCTTTCCTTCTTGTCTTGTTCTTCCTGAGCCTTCTGCTCAGCTGTATCTTTTTGCACACGTTCTGAAATTGCCTCGTAGTCCTTGGCAATGTTATTCAGAAGCCAGTTAAGGCCATTCTTGATGGATTTGTCAACCTTCTTACCATAACCCAGCACTGCAGAACAGGGTTCCTGAGAGTAGAGGAAACAATGTTTAGCTCAGTTTTATATGAATGGTTTGCAAAAGTCAAAGGCAAATCTCTGCCAAAAGAATGTGATGAGTTTGATTCAATTTGAACCTGTTAAAAGTAAACAATAAATAAAAAAAGAAAAATTCACAGACTTGGGGTTTCCTCTTTGATTAAAAACTCAAACCAAACTCTGATAAATATAAACTGTTTTGAAATATTAACTCACAATCTGACAGAGGCATTTATTCTCGTTGACAAGCTTCTCCAATGACAGGGTCTCAATGATATCTGCTTCAGCCAATGCCCCATCTTGGTCCTGTTTATTAGCCAGTCTGCAAGCCAATTAGAAGAAAGAAAAGAGCTGGTCACTAGGTGTGCAGGTCACTAGGTAAGCTGTCACAAACAAATGACCTGTTTGTGACAGCACTCTTGACTTATTAGCACACTTAACACGTTATATTTAGTCAAGGACTTCATCTGCTGCTCACTCCCTCAGTTAATTGGACCCACTGCAGCTTGTCTAACACCCCAACAGATATACAGATGATGTATTGCACATTTATTGCACACCGCCCTGTTCCACTTGGACTACAAGCAGGAATTATGTAAGGATGCTCTTCACTGATTACAGCTTGACATTCATCAAAGTCTCCAGGCTCATCAGCAAACTCAAGGTCTTCGCTCTAAACTCCTTCGTATTTCTGACAGACAGGCAATGTTGGCAAGGGAGGGCTGTAAACATTATCAGCAACCATTTAAAAATGGGTGTTCCCAAGGATTCTGTACTGAGCTTTCTTCTAATCTCCCTTTTACAAACACAGCTCTGCGGTTTTAAGCAGTTCCAACTTCATCATGGTTTTTGCAGCTGTGCTGACACAGTTTTGGTAGGTCTAAGGCCAGTTGCATAAACTTAGCCTCTATGTTAAAATTGTGTCTTAAAGGGTTAGTTCACCCAAAAATTAAAATTAGCCCATGAATTACTCACTCTCAAAGCATCCTAGGTGTATATGACTTTCTTCCTTCAGATGAATCCAGTCGGAATTATATTAAAAATTGTCTTTGATCTTCCAAGCAATTTAATGGCAGTCAGCGGGTGTTGCAGTGCATCAGTCTAAAAGAAGTGAAATAAAGCGCATTCATCCATAATAAAAAGTCCCTCACACGGCTCCGGGGGGTAAACAAAGGCCTCCGGTAGCGAATCAATGCGATTTTGTAAGAAAAATAACCATATTTAAAACGTAATAATAAATTTAATCTAGCTTGCGCTCACGGTTGTAAACAGAAGCAACTCCGGGCGGATGACGTAGGACGCCGGCGTTGCGCATGCGCCACTCATAAGTGACGGATGCGGAAGCGCAGGGGAGAGATCAAAACAAAACAACGGTCACTAATGCACAAGCTAGATTAAAGTGATTATTATGTTTTGAATATGGATATTTTTCTTACAAAAACGCATCAATTCACTACAGGAGGCCTTTGTTCACCCCCCGGAGCCGTGTGAGGCACATTTTATTATGGATGACTGACTGCCTTTAAACTGCCTTTAAACAGCTTGGAAGATCAAAGTCAATTTTTTATATAACTCCGATTGGATTCATCTGAAAGAAGGAAGTCATATACGCCTAGGATGGCTTGAGGGTGAGTAAATAATGGGCTAATTTTCATTTTTGGGTGAACCATCCCTTTAAGAAGTAGTCTTACAACCTAGCAGTTAGCCAAGGGGTAATGAGTCTTAATTTTCATATTCAAATTAGACCAATCTGCATTTTTATGTAACGGACTTAAAAATTATGAGACAAGTGAAAAATCCAACACTGTGGTGTTGGTATAATTACCAAATACCAACAAGAACAAGGAGCCAATTGAAGGCTTCACTTGAACCACAGACAGCTTGTTTAGAAAAGCACATCAATAGCTTTATTATATCAGGCACCAGGGAAAATTGAGAATGGGCCCCCATGTGCTGAGGTCTTTTTACAGGTGTATCATTGAAATCATTCTGTCAGTTACTATTATTTCCTGATAGAAGAGCTGGACCACACAAAACTGTCAAGGTGTGCACAGGGTGGTGGAATAAGATAAATGTATCAACATGGATGTGCTGCCCAACATGCAATCTTCATAAGGTAGAATAGGACTAAAGCCAGAAAAAAATGATTAAAGACCTTGCGTTTTTTTTTCATTACTTTCCCCTGTATCCAAACACTTAATGCAGTATGTGGATATATGGTATTTTACTTTTCACCTTTCTAAACACAAATCTGCATATCTCATATACACCCTAGGCAAGGATTTTGCACAATATCAGCATAAATACTGGTGTAAATGCATTAAAGTAACTTTATCACTGAAGACAAGCAATGATGATTTTCTTTTTGAATACGTAATGACACTACATCACTGTCAAAGTCAGAGATGCCAATTTGGCAGCTGTGATTGCTGATTACCGGAGTAAACTGGCCCAAGTTTCTTTATTTTTTAAGATTATTGGATCCGTACACCTTTATAGCGTTACTGAGTGATTGCCAATTAAGGTTAGTACACAACAAACCAATTTGAGCACAGTTTATAAATGGGTTATACATAGTTCTGTTTTCCAAGTTCTGAAATCATCAATGTCATCAAAAAAATGAAAGCCTAGGGCATACTCATTTTATCTACTGCCTTTATGCTTTATGTTTTATGTCTCATCTCCCATGTTTGATGATCTGTAGACATACACTACCATTTAAAAGTTTGGGATGAGTATGATTTTTATTCTTTTTTTTAAAGAAGTCTCTTATGCTTGTCAAGGCTGCATTTGTTTTGGATCATGTGGCACTGAAGATTGTAGTAATGGCAGATGCAAATTCAGCTTTTGCCACCACGGGAATAAATTATATTTCAAACTATAGTAAAATAGAAAACTGTTATTTTAAATTGTAATAATATTTCGCAATATTACTTTTTACTGTATTTTTGATCAAATAAATGCATCCTTGATGAGCATAAGAGACTTAAAAGAAAAGAAAAAAAACATAAAAAAATCGTACTGGTCCCAAACTTTTAAACAGTAGTGTAGCGTTAAGTTTTAGACAAACATTAAGTCACGTTCAACAGCAAGAACATACACTAAAACTTACACTAATACAGGTTTGCCTGCAATTCGAGGATGCCGGAGAACCTCAGCCATTGTGTCTCTGGTCTCCTGGATCCTTTGAACATCACTGGAGTCCACAACAAACACCACTCCGTAAGACTCAGAGTAGTAGTTTTTCCAAATGCCGCGGATACGCTTCCCGCCACCCAGGTCAAAGATTGTAACCTCAAACTTGCCCTGCTTCAGGTCCACCTTTGAGAAGCCCACTGTAGGTGCTACATCTAAAGGACATTCTATGACAGAAATATACACATTGTGAGAATGACCCTGGACCTTGAAAACACAACATAAAAAAATACTCAGAAAATATTAAGATGAAGATTTACCTCCCTGGATTCCTCTGACAGTAGCTGTTTTTCCAGCATTGTCCAGTCCAACCATTACTAATGTCACCTTCCTGCAAGACCACAGATACAACTTCATTTCATTATGTGTCACCCAAAGACCTCATTAAGGTCAAGGCAGCCCTTATAACGAGAAAAGATTTTCTGTAACACTTGAGGTGCACTCAGGTTAGAATGAGATATTAAGGTCAATGGCAAGCAAGTGAGATCATGATAATTAAAGAAAAAAAATCTAGTTTAAAACAACTGTGTTAAGTTAATAGAAAAGTACTATGTGTGTTCATGTTGATTCCAAACTATTTTTAAAAACCTTCATAAGATTTTCAAGAAAAGTTTATTTAAATTTAAAGGTTTAAAGTAATAACTCATGTTGTAACCACCAAGTAAAAAGTAATACAAAATGTTCATTATAACTTTATTGTTTTTTTAAAGGTTAAAAATATTTTTTTATTACATTTTAATCACTAGCTTTTTCAACATTTCAATGTTCAATTTATTTTCAATAATTTCATTATTTTAAGTCAACTTTTTTATTATTTCATTTTGATATAAGAACAAATGTATTACCCTGATTTTTTTTTTTTTTTTTTACTTTATGTCCCAAAAAATATCAAAATGATTTTTAATACAGAAATTTAAAAAAATGCGGAAAAAATCACGGAAAATGTGTACTCAAGTGCGCTCATTAATGAGCTCATGCAGGCAGCTTCAAACTTTTTGACATTTAATAAAACTTGACATTAAGTTATGAACAGCTGTCAGCTAAGACAACCTAAGCCGTATGGTAATGCATCATCTCATGACTGGCAAAAGCACACAGGAATAAAGAGGATGATTCAGAATACCATGCACAAAAAGACAAAGTAAATAATGTGGCCTTTTCCTACACTAATGACGACAAAAATATTCCGTAAGTTCAATGATAATCTGTTCGGGGCTGTGGAGTCACAGCTGTTTAAACTATAAGGCTTCCAGTGGAGGCTTAAGAGGCATAATAAGACATCTGTAGAGTAACACAAATATCCTGAATTGACATGGGATTTCTGCATTGACATGAACAACCTATGCTTAATTCTAAAGAAATGCCAGACGAACACAAAGGCCAGGCGGCGTAAACAAACCCTGCAGCTACCACCAATGCACATAAGAAAACACAAAGCTAAAGTCCATACAGCTACCAAACAGACGCACTCACAAACAGTTACTTAACTGCGGCACTTGCGCCGCAGGGACATCAAGCGCACTATCCAGGTGACAGTTCTCTGCAACCAGGAGGCCTTCATCAAGACTAGGAATAGATCAAGATGACAGCTAGCTTTCCCTTGACTTCGGTTGTTATTGTCGATACACACACACTTTTGTCTTTCCTGGCCTCTGGTCAGCTCTGTATCTGAGGGATTTGCTGGGGATTTCGACTTACCCAACAAGATCAGTGACAGGGTGCCAGAGGACACACTACATTCAGCCAATGAAATTAAGACAATAACTTAGAGACTTAGTTGTCACCTCTGGGCCCAGAAACTCTCAGCAGAGAGTAAGAGTCTCTGTAACATCGCTGGCACTTTTGGGTCTGACTTCTTCATTTTACGCAGACCGATCTTAGGTATGATCAACCAACTGACCCAGATTTAGGCTTATCAAGCATCTTGTTTCAGGCACAGCAGGTGATGTGAGTAATCAGATATTTAACACTTGGATTTAAGCCTTTGCCTAATTGTAGCTGAAATAAAATAAGTTAAATTTGAAGTACTAAAATTACTAAAGCTAAATAGAAATATATGTAAATAAAAACTATTAAAAATGCCAAAAGTATAACATGACTAAAACTAAATTAAAATTTAAGTTTTTAACTTGAATACTGAAAGTATAAAAATATAAACTAATTCAAAATATTAACAAATACTAGGCTAACACTAGTAAAGACCAATACAAATACAAGTATAAAATAACACTGCAGCAAAATGTTCAAAGTCTGTCCTGATTATTGTCACGCACATACACACGCAAACTTTCAATAAGGTTTTTACTGAAAACTATTTTATGTTTACTGTTTACAAGAGCAAGTATGAATGTATGAATCATGGATCTATGCAAAATGTTACTGCATCGGATAAACCATGTGGCATATGCAAATAAATTATAGTTGTCCTTTCTTAGAAATGACATTTATAGGGGATGTGTTAATTAATTTACTGTCAAGTTTCATTAACTTTCACCAGAAAGTGAACAGAACTTTGAACTTCATATGTATTGTTACACTTAGCATTATGTTTTGCTTGACTACTTGTGCTGTCTTTTTAAAGCAATATTTCACCTACAAAATTGTCCAAACCATGTTGTTTCACTGACTTTCATTGTGTCTTTTTTTTTTCATTCATTCATTAAAAGTGAAAGGTAACTAAGGTTGTCACTATGCCTAAAATCTCGTCAAGTTTCGTGAACGATTCCTTGAAAATACGTGCCTGCCAATTAATAATTTTGAGTTACACACTGCACTTCCCATTGCACTAGAAAATAATAGTAAATATTAGAGGTAATACATGATTGAAGTAGAGGTACTTCATGTATCATCACTTTCATTAGCCAAGTTGAATTTTTGTTGTCATAAATAAAACACAAAGACAATATAAAGAGGACAGTCAAAACAGACACAGGTAAAGGTCAAAACTAATCACCTATGGCAATTTTAAGAGTGGCTTATTTGGACCACTGTGTACAAATATAGATAACATATATGAAACTGTACAATATAAGAGTTCACTGACAGTTCTGCTCAGAAACAAGTTACTAAATACTCCACAGTCTCTATGGCACAAGCATGAGATGAAAGTTGTAGACACTCACCTTGCAGGTTCTTTCCATCGTTTCAACCAATTACAGCAGTTCGCCATCAGATTGAACATTTCACCCTAAATGCTTGAACTGGGATTTATTATTTCATGACAGCCGTTTTGGCTGATTACTAAAGTTCCTGGCTGATTTTCTTATCTTTGTGTTTTCAATCAACCCCGTTATCTGCAAGCACGCTTTTATCTGCCTATCCGAGTGATTCGTAAAGATTTGAGTACAGACATTGTTTTCTAGTTGAGAATAAGGGCAAAATAATCTAAAAATTGTCAACTAATACGCATCGTCTAATTGGCAGACTGTCGTTTACAATACTGACCATACAGTTTAGTTTCATTTTGCACGCAACCCGAATCAATGCAGCCTCACTGAAAGGCTAACCAGTTAGCCAATACTGGTTAGCTACATACGATCTATGAAACTATGAAATTACATATCATGTCATTAGAAGGAAAATCTAATTAGATAATAACTATGTATTCCGTTTTAAACCGTTCCTCGGAAATTGTTTACTCTCAATTTTAAACCGTTTTTCGCTGAAATTGTATTGGGATAATTGTTAGCTCGCTAGGTGTCCGCTTTGTTGACCAAGCTGAATGTGGCTGCTATGGCTGCAGCCGCGATTACGTCGAGGGTCGGGGTTGCCAAGTGTTTATAAATTATATGCTATAATGTATACCAAAAGGAAAATGTGTAAAGCCATTCTTTTAAGCTTTCAGCGTGGGTTTTACTCGTATAGCTTACAATTTATTTTACACAAAGACACTTAAAGTAGTCTGTGTCGATCAAAGTGTCCCGAAACAAACAGTACAGAAAACATTGACTTGGCAACAACTATGATTAACTTAACCTAACAGTGAACAGCGCCTCCCTTGGACGGAGACGCAGCAAACTGTAGTTAATTTTCACCACACAACAAACTGTAAATAAATTAAAAGCATCACGTTGTGTACAGTGCTAACGATATACAACACAACGAATCCTGACTGTTTACAATAAACCAACAAACTCAACTCCCCTTCAAATGTGTTTATTAATCAGGACAAAAAAGCTCTTGATATATAAACCCAGTCACCCAATCATACACTATTTAAACTCTTCAAACATTTACAGAAGATAAAAAAAAAAGAATAAATAAGACTGTTACTGTTCATTAATGGAACAGCTTTAAACATGCCTCTGTTTGAGACACAAATTAGTCCTCCCCTTACAATTGTCTTGAGTTTAAAGAGAAGTCATTTAGAATATGTTACGACAATGTTCAATGAGGCTTTGTGGCACATATACACTCCTCCATTAATAGGAGAATCTGTAGTTTAAAAGACTAGGCCTTTCCAGCAGCAAAAGGTGTAGGCTGACAGTTCTTTAGGATTTCTCAACCGAAGTCAAAGTCCTTCATTTAAAGACATTATGTCTTTAACTCTTCCCAAGTGTCCACTGACTTAAAAGCAAGTTAATGACATTTTCAAAATATGCAATTAGTAACAATTTACAAAGGTTCACATATCAAGTCTTTTAAAAATAATAAAAGAGCATATTTAGAGTGTGCTTGCAATACTTAAAAGTGGCCTACGAGTTTCCATCCAGTACTTCTGCTCATAAAGCACTATGCAACACTGGTAAACACCTGACCCATTGTCACAAAACAGCCAAGTTAAACCTTTCATTAACCACCATACTTCCAGAGAAGGTATTTACCTTGGCCAGAAAGACAGACCAACTCCTCTTGTAGTGTCATGGTCCTTGGTGGCCTCTCATATCCAGGAATTGAAAAGACAAGCAAAAAATGAGAGAACAGGCTAAGCTCTGTAGCATGAAGTGATGACAGAGTGAAAATGCATCTGTTGTGCATTTTATAGAAAGACAAACTTATTCATTTTCTTTTAAAAAAAAAACAGTCCCAAGTCTCAAAAGACTTTGAAAAAAATCAATATCAGATTTTTTTTAATATGAAGAGATAACAGGCCTTCGCTCCGAAATAAAGGAGCAGATCGGTTATACAAGACTACACCGAGGGAAAATTAATTTCCCATGTAGTTCTTGATATAGTTCCGTTTTGAGACCCTGAAAAAGATGTTAAGCACACATGTAAGAACGCCGATTGCCTACAGCAGCATTTAGCAATTTTCTCAGTAGAGAGGCTTGCTTCTCCAAATTCAGGAGGCACCTGTTGAAAACAAAAACAAAAGTATTTAACAATAAAAAAAATAAAATAAAAATAAGACGCACAATAAAAAAAAAAAGGTACTTACTTTCATCATCCGAATCAAAACCAAAGAGGGATGTGCATTTGTCTTTATGTGTCTGCAGCTCTTCCTCACTGTTGAAAGACTGAAAACATCGAGAGCAACGCTGCCTCGTTGACAGTTTTTCAGGCTTTGACACAGAGCCTAATAACTTTGAGCCCACCTGGGGTTCTTTCCTACGTTTTGGCATGCTAATGTAAGACTCATGCAGATAGGCTGAGGGAAGAGGTCGAATGAATTGTTTAGTTACAGGTTTTCCTAAAACCGGTGGTTCCTGCTCTTTAGTGACTGGATCTGAAGGTTTGGGAGGAACAACTTTGTCACACTCGCTATGCCCATTAACAAGACTATGGTTCTTGCTACTGTAGTTTACAGAACCTTTATTGAGGACCAAAGGTTTTCCATCATCATCTTGACTTGCTGGGCCCTTCAAATTGGCTGTACCCAGAATTTGTTGACTGACTGAAGAATTTGGTGGTGCTTCCATACTATCTTCCAGGCTTCGAGGGACTCCATGCCCTGTTGGTTCAGATTCTTTGGGGAATGATTTTTTTTCCAAATTTGTATCGAGTCGATAATGAGTTTTTTCATGCCTATAGAGGAGCATATTGCTCTCAACTTGCATAGAGCAGCCAGGAAAGCAGCACGATGCTCTCAACGGATGATGGCCTAACATGTGTTCACTAAGCTCCATACGTGTTTGGTACCTCTCCTTGCAGCCGTAATGGTAGCATGGGAACTTCAGCTCACCTCTGTGGCATATCACATGGTCAAAAAAATGCTGAGGGTTATATAACTTTCTGCAACAGAAAATACATTTTTCCTTTCCAAAGTTGAAAAAGAACAAAAGCGCCTTCTTGTCGCCATGGTGGTGAGACAGCACATGTGAAAGGACAAGGATTGACTTTGCACTAAACGTACATATCTCCACAGGGCATCTGACATGCGTAGATGCTCCAGTTCTTTTTCCCTGGAATGGTGTGGATGGCTGTTTGGGCTTTGGCTGAGTCCCATTTTTATGCCCCAATGGATTTATTTCCTTAAATTCAGCATTATTGTCTTTGGGTTCCTGATTCTCAGAACTGCCTTCCAGGCTATTTGTCATCTTCCTCCTCTTTACATCTTCTCCATCCTCTTTTTGATCTCCAGGAGTAATCTTCTTCTTTTTCAGCCCAGAGTCCAGCATTTTATCTTTTCTTTTCTTTTTTGATTTGCTCTTGTCTTTTGTTACTTCTATCTTCTCAGGTTCAGTCTTGACATTGTCTTTCTGACTTTCTACACTCTCGATTTTCACTTTGCTGTCCTGTGGTAATGATGTCTGAACCTTTTCATCAGTGGTATTTGCCTCAGGCTCACTTTTCACTTTTCTTCTCTTTCTGGTCACTCCATTT